CTGCGGGAGGCGACCCTGTCGCTGGCGCTCTTTCTTCATCGCGCGCAGTACAAAGATCGGGGGGCTCGTGTTTCTGCTGATCGTCTCGTTCAACGTCCCTCGAGTCAAGTGGACCAGCTCGCCGCGCAGGTGCGACTGGCAGAGGAAGCGCTCTCTATCATCGCGGGGAACTCGGAAGTGGGGTCGCGACTTCGACCAGTGGTTCCTGCTGTCTTGGCTCTCGTCAGCGATGAAGAGCCGAGGTGGCTCGACGTGCCCCGCAGGAACGTCGCGCTGCACTCCGACGCGGAGGACTTCGATGTGGAGCGCGCCTCGGCTGCCCAGCTGCGCCGGGCGCAGCGCGGAGCCGGGGGGAGAAGAGGCGATCCCCATCTCGGAAGCCGTCAAATGCAGACTTGTCCTCGGCTCCAGCCCCACACGTCCTGATGCACGTGCCGCGGGCCGCTAGTTGGGGGCCCAGCCTGCCGAGTGCGGACGGCGAGGCGCCGCTGCTGCCAGCGGTGTGCGCGTGCGGGGCCACGATTTTCTCCTTCCCCCTCCTTGTGGACTCGGCCGAGGAACCCGCCTTCGCCGACGCCGAGATTTCTGTGCCGCGGGGCGAGGCGGTGGCCGAGAGGCCGCTGCCCATCTCGTCGCCCGGGGTTGCCAAGGTCGAGGAGAGCGCGGAGCGCGAGTCCATCGAAGAGCAGGAGTTTGCGAGCGCGGCGGCTGTGGAGGTGGGCCAGGCCGAGATCGAGACGGCGGCGCTCTGGGCGCAGCATCTGGCGGCCCCGCCTCTCACCGCTTTCGAGGCAATGCGCGCGCAGACCGTGAACTTCAGCACGCGGTCGCGGTCGCGCGGGCAGCCCTTCGTGCGGAGCGCGCGAAGCTGGACGAAGCGCCCCGCCGCCAGTGCTGGGAGGCGAGCGCCGGACGGGCTCGCTTGCCCGCCGGCGCCGACGCGCTGCGCAGCGGCGCGACGGCCGGCGACTTCGGGCCTTCGCGGTTTATGGCGGCCCTCCCGATGGCTACGCGGGCCGCTGTCGCGACGGGGCCTTTGGTTGAGCGGAGAGCGGTCGCTGCGCCTTCGGAGGCGACCGCAGCCGAGGTCGCGCCGCCAGCGCCAGCTTCATCCGAGCGCCCGCAGAGTTGAGCGGGCGTGAAGTTGTTCTGTATTAAATATGTCGCGGGAATGCTTTAGCGCCGACATGTTCAAAATTCGTCGTCGGGCCCTTCCTTTCCGCCGCGGGCTCGGATGAGGAGCCCAGTGCGCGCAGTCGCTTCGTGATCGGACCTATCCTATCCTATCCTATCCTATCCTATCCTATCCTATCCTATCCTATCCTATCCTATCCCATCCTCCTCCATACTTTGCGTCAGGGGGGGTCCACCAGATTTCAGCTCACCGCCCCCCCCCCGGCCCCGCGCGCCGCCGGCGGCGGAGACCCCGCCCTCCCGAGCGGGCCTTCGGCTTTCGACTGGCGGCGGGCCTGCTTGCTCGTTCGCTAGCTGGGCCGCCCCCGCGGCCCCGCCGCGCAGGCAGCGGCGCCGCCCGGGCCGCCTCGGGGCGCGAAGGCGCGGTCAAAAAGCGCTTCCTCTCCAGAGATCCGACGCAAACAGTTGGAGGAGCGGGCTTCGGGCCGTTTTCGACGCCCAGGTGCCCTCGCCGGGCAGAGGGGGCGCCGAAAAAAACATTTCGGGGCGGAAAGCTTGCCCTCGGGAAGTGGTCCGGACCTCTGGGGCCCGCGCGTCGGAACATGGGGGCAGCTGGGTGTCCGGGGTCTTTCCGCATCAGTCTCGCGCGCGTTGACTGTAGTCGCGGCTGCCCCGGCTCAGGCTGCGCGTCGCAGCCTGAGCCGGGGCAGCCGCCGTTCTCCAGGGGGGCGGCGCGAGGGCGCCAGGGCGCGGAGGTCACCGCTCAGGTGGCCCGGCATCGCCAGCGTCGGCCCTCCTGCCGGCGCGCGAGTGTGCCCGCTGCTGCGGCGCCCCCCATCTGCGCAGCATGAGAAAGAACGCGCCTTGTGGTTCCTTTCCTCGCCATTGAGTCTCGGGGCGCCAGTCGCGCGGCGGCCCCCGGGGGGAAATGCAGTTGGTTCGCCGCGCGGGGTCGACTTCGAGGGGCGCGTTGGGTTGCCGCGTTTCTCGTTCGCTGGCCCAGGGATTCTGCGCGCTGGAAGTAGCTATTGCGCTGCGCTGCTCTTGGGGGCGCCGCGCCGTGGAGTGCGGTTCCCGAGTGGTCCATCCTGCTGGCGTTGACAATCTCTTTGGTCATTTAATTTAGCCATAGAGGGCGCCCGAACAACGTTTCGGTTGATGCGGCCCCCTCCCCGTGCATTTCTTGGGAAGAGGGGGGTCCCCATGTATTCCGCCGCGAAAGTAAATATTTTGCACGGCGCCGCAAAAGGAATCACATCGTTTTTCGCAACAGGCGGAACGCGTACTTGCGCATTAGATTCAGCATGTCGCCGCGCAGGGGATCTTCGCGCATCCCTCGGGATTTCTTTTGCCCCGCCACAAACGAAATCCTTCTGCATGCAACCGCGGAGGGAGTTATTTTGCATTCCGCCGCGCACGGAACCTCTTTGCATTCCGCCACAAAAGCAACCCTTTTGAAATCTGCCACAGCAGAAATTTCATTGAAATTAGAGAAGGATTGAAAGACAATCTGCTCGCATCTCTCCAGGTAGGTCAAAGAAACAACATTGGTTTCGCCTGTGCCTGCACATATCTTTAGTGTGCGATGGAAATCATAGCTTTCATGTGCGGACGCAGCTGCCATAGCTTTTTTTTCGAATGATTTCCCAACGGTGACAATATGAGCACGACTAAGCATGCATTATTCGCTGTGCAGGCACAAGGGGAACCAATGGTTGCGGAGGAATGGATGACAGCATCAGAGAGCGGCCGCACCCCGTGGCGTTCTAAGCTCGAGAGCTTGCGCCGATTTCGGCTTCCCTCGGCACTGCTCGACCCGGCCGCGCATGCAGGCCGGGCTGGCGGAGTTCCTCGCGCAGGAGGCGCTGCGGTGGGCGAGCCTCTCCTCGCCCGCGTGCGCCAGCCGCTGCCCGGAGGCTCCGCGCTGCCCGGCGGCGCCGCGATGCCCGGAGCCCCCCTCAGCTCCCAGCGCGCCCCGCCTGCCCTGGGGCCCCGCCCGCCCGTCCGAAGGCCCCGCCGGCCGCCGCCGCCCGGGCGGCGAAGGCCGCCCTGCTGCGTGGGCTTCGCCGCCAGGCAGCTGCATGGCGCGCGCGCTGGCCCCCTTTGGCCTCTGGCTGCTGGCGCCGCCGGCGGCGAGCGCTAGGGGCTTCCGCCAGTGCGTGGGCCGCTCCGGATGGCAGCTGCGGGCGCGGTGGCGGCGCTCCAGCTCCACCAGCTCCAGGAGTGGGTCTTCGTGCTCTACGCGGCTCCAGGGCCGCCGGTGCGCCGCCGGCGCGGGGCGGTCCGGCGCCGTCGCGCGGCGCGCTCGGCGACTGAGCTCGGCGCCCTCCTGGCCGAGGCGCCCGACCTGGATGTCTGCGAGGAAGACCGCCGACCGAGCTCGTTGGGCGTCGACATCGCAAGGCTAGCAAGGCAAAGGTCGCCGTCCAGGGCCAGGCAGCGGGGGCGCTTATATACACATAACGGGGGACCGGGTCCAGGGGCCAGGGGCCGGGGCCCCGACCGCAAATGTGGGGCCCGGCGCGCCGGGAGCCCTGCCGGAGCGCCAGGGGCCGTCCAAGCTCCCCCGAAGATGGATTCGGAACGCTCGAAAACGCGCTCCGATGGCTCCGGATGCCTTTCAAGACGACTCCCATGACGCCAAGAAGGCCCCCGAAGGCCCCGAAGACGCCCCAAGAGGCACCCCGAGAGAGCCCCAATAAGCAAAAATCGTCGATTTCCTGTGGGAAAACTGATGTTTTTGTCGTGTTCGCCTTTTGCGCTTCCACTGCGTCCAAGACGGCTCAAGAGGCACCCAAGCCGGTCGGGGATACCCCCAAGAGGGCCCCAAGACGGCCCACGAGGGGGCCAAGAAGGCCCACGAGGCGCCCAAACCGCCCAAGAACGCCCCAAGGCGGCGCCCAAGACGGGGACGAGGAACCGGAAATTCGCGCCTTTGGGCCGAAGGGACCCCCAACAGACCCCAAGAGGCTCCAAGAAGCGCCCAAGAAGCCCCAAGAGGCCCCCATGAGACCTTCCATAGCCATTTTGGGTCAAGTTTTCGGATCAGTGCCCTTTCCGCACGAGCTTGGTGCCAAGCTGCCAAGCCTATCCCCAATGATCGTGCCAGACTTATCTTGTATTGTCCACCAAGTGGAGCTTATTTGCATTGCGGCCTGCGCCGCTATGATGCTGGGGCGCCTGGCTTGGCAGTTGTGGACCGAGGGCGCCTCAAGGTCTTGCTTTCACGATTATTATGCTCGATTGCTCGCGTTCTCTACAGTCGTCAGGACGGTCATTCTTGGGAAAGACGGCACTCAACAATCTGTTCACAAGCGCAAACAATCCATCAGGCTTGCCATGTCACGGAGAAGCTACCAGTTATTTTGTGTCGCAGCTGTCGGGGTACTTTACCCGATGTTTTTCTTCTCCGCAGATGACCGCCCGCATATCGTTCCCAGGCGCTTGCATTACGCTTTCTCTGGGGTGGTAGTTGTGTCAGTCAATGTGTGTCCTAGCTTGTTGACCCCATCACGACTTCATTTGTGGTATTGCCTTCTGTTTTTCTCACATGCGATTTCTCTGTCACCGCTGTTGCAGTTCGCGGAATCGATCAGCCCCCTCAAATCTCATGTATTGTGTGATTGCTTAATGTACTGCATGATTGACTTCAGCCTTCCAGCGAATTTGTTTTGGACGACACTCTGCTATCTTTCCGCTGCGTCCACAGCGTTTGCTGGCAAGTCCAATGGCATGCCGTGCCACGACCCTGAAACCACAAATGACCTGTTTCTTGATTGGATACGTGTCGTTGTATCTTTGATAATCTTGCACGTCGTGTTCTCAATGGTGGTCAGTACCCTCTTAGAGGGTCAAGCATGTCGGAGCGAGTTGCGCGCCGCAAAGTCGATCTTAGCAGGCGTTTGTGACGCCGTGGTCGAGCTCGATGCCAAGCTGATGCTCGTGTGGCCTTCCGAAAAGCTCGCGGCTTTGTTAATGCATAACGAGCCTCGATCTTTGGCGGGAATGAGTATATCGTCCTTTCTTGCCACAAAGGCCGATCGCGAAAAATTTGCCAAACAGGTAACCTCCAGTACTGCGTATGATGATCTCTGCACGGCTTTTCACGTCAAATTGCGGGACACTTGTGGCATCTCTGTGTCGGTGGAAGTTTTCTGCGTGCGCTGCAGTAGTGGTGATAAAGAGAAGTCGTACCTGGTCGGCTTTCAAGAATTTGCGGACCTGGCTCCACCAAGGAGGAGTACGCACCCGAGAGCGCCGACAATGCCTAGTGCTGAAATGAAGATGGATATTCAGAGCTGGTGTGCGTCGCACGAGACTGCACACATGTATTTTGGCACCAATTCTGAAGGGGAGTCTGGCGCATCGTCTTCTATTTCCGAGGTTGCTGTTTGGGTCGACGGTCTGTCACCAGAGTTAACCATGTTGCGTTGCACCACTGCCTTCGAGATGTTAGTTGGCAGCTCTTGGGCGCAAATCTGTGCCACCCAGAGTAATCTTCTGCAATGTACTCGGCCAGACCAGCGAAATGACTTGAAGTTTTGGGTTCGTCGTGCCTGGGATAGACTCGAGCTGCCAGCTGTGCACGGGGTGAGTTTCCGTTTCAGTAAGCAGCATCATCGTATGCGTCTCGCCATCGAGAACACGCTGAGAGTGTCCGTGGATCCGCCAGGCGGCGAGGACTGGACTGAGGGCCTGGACCGACCTTCGTGCGTGGTGAAGCTCGTTCTCGAGATGTCCAAGTGGATCCAGGATCAGCGTTGGACCAGGCGCGTCAGCGCGCCCGTGCGCTCTCACGTCCCTTTGTGCGCTGGCGCGGCCGCGGCGGCGGCCCCGGAGGACGCCGGCAACACCCTGACCCCACCGCGACTCATCGACCAGGCGACACAGTCAGTGGTAACGAGCGGGCCGCGTCTCGAGGCCCCCGCGGGCGCTGGTGCGTCTCCGCCCGAGGCTGACAGCGCCCAGAGGTCAGACAGCAAGGGGAGCCGCGCGACTGGTGGCGGTTCGATCTCGCTCTGACTTGCAGTGTTGGCTGGGGAGTGGAGGACGGGGATATGGAGGAGGAAGAGAAGGAAGAAAAGGAGGACGAGGAGGAACAGAAACGGCACATTGGGCCAATCTAGGGGGCCCGCCCGCCCTCACGCGAGCCTGAGAGCTTTTCTATAGAGGCGCCCGCGCCTCACCAGCCTGATTCCCCTTCCTTCCGTCTTTCTCCTCTCCCTCCGAGGCCAACCTCTCCTCCACCTCCCTGACTCTCTCCACATGGGCATTTCTCCGTTGATCTCCGCCCCGCGCTGCATGCACACTCTTGCACGGCCTGCGAGGCCTCCGACACCGCTCAGAAACATCAGGAACATACATGATCGTGTACACTTCTCCGATTCGTTTTGCGACGTTCGGGCCGCTAGCTTGGACGATGGTGATGCGAGTCGGAAGTTTCGATGCGATGCTTGCGGCGTGGCTTTGCACACCCACAAGCAGCTCGCACAGCATTGCCAGATCAATCACGGCGTCCTCAAAGATTTTCCGCTGCTGCGAGCGGCGCGTGCCCAGTCTGCAAGACTGTCTATAGGACTCGCCTTGCCCTGCTCGGCCACCTCTGCCATTCCCGTAGGCAGAGGTGCTGGGCGGAGATATGCCAGCATCCCAGCCAGTTTGCACACATACCGGTTAAGGAGGTCAGCATCTGGTTGCCATTCAAGCCACAGCCTGCAGGCTGCTGCGTGGGTCCTTTCTCCCAGCATGTCTGTAGTCTGTTTTACAGGTCTTCTGGGACTTCTGTGCACATGAGCGCCCACCCTTTACAGCATTCGTGAAGGCCGCTACGAGAGACCTTGTGCAAGACATGCCTCGGCTCCTCCGCATTCGAAGACCGTCTTTCCCAGTTTATCCTCTCTCCTCTCTTCTTCCTCCTTGCTGCTTTATCCCGCCCCCCATCTTCCCTTTCCCGCGTCCCTCCGTTCCCCTTACGATGGCTCGCGAGACTCTTGAGAAGCCTTACGTGTGGAGTCGCTCTTTCCGTCGTCCGACCTAAGTGTCAGACCGTCGGTTCTTTCCATGTGCCCTGTGCTTCTCTGGACACTGCTGCGACTGAGGGCGGACAGCGCGACACGTGCATCGTGGAGCGAGGCTCCCTACTGGTTCAGTCGGGTATTGTCTGTCCAGAGCGGGTTATGCAGCCGCAATCGGATTCTTGTTGGGCGGCTGAGGACCAACGTTTACAGCCTCTGGCGAGGCGGCGCCACAGCCCTGTTTTATACAAGGAGCGACCTCGATGGTCGCCCGAACAGCACGAGTGCACCGCAGATTTCTCAAGGCTTCTTGTGCGCGGCCTTCTGCGCCTGCCTGCTCAAGTTGATGTAATGTGAATTTAGTTATGATAGGGTAGATGGCTTTCGGCCAGCGCGTGGAGGAACCGGAACAGGGAGCTTGCTGCTCGCGCCCCCTATCCTTTCCCGTGTCTCAGCCTCCTCTGCCTTCTCTCCCTCGGGCCTGGGCTCGGCATGCATTTTCTGGGCACTGCACGCTCCAGGTAGAAGGTTGACCCTGCCTCCTCCTTGTGCCTGGTCTTGCGTGTATTACGCGCTCCAGGTTGGAGGTGGGCCCATTCCCCCTCCCGGGGCCAAGACGGCCCACGAGGCGCCCAAGCCGCCCAAGAACGCCCCAAGGCGGCGCCCAAGACGGGGACGAGGAACCGGAAATTCGCGCCTTTTGGCCGAGGAGACCCCGAGGAGACCCCAAGAGGCTCCAAGAAGCTCCCAAGAAGCCCCAAGAGGCCCCCATGAGACCTGAAAAAACAACACAAGAGGCCCCGAAGACGCCCCAAGAGGCACCCCGAGAGAGCTTGCAGCAACGGGGCTTGCTACATCCATGCATGTGCGTGAGGATCGAAACTAAATGCGTGGACGTTCATGTGAATACTCTAATCGCCATGGTTTTCGAAAGCTAGGTCACAGTAGCCCAGCACTGTTCGAGCACAGACTTGATTTTGAACCTCGACACCACGCCGTGCCTTACCCGTGGTGCATCAACTGCAGAAAGGGGATGGCAAGTGCGAGCGCACGCTTGGGAAGCATAGCAGCAGCATGCATGCCGCATTCATGTTCAGTCGTGGGTGGGACGTGGGCGTCGTACCACGGTCTGAGCGTGCACTCAACATTCGCTTCAACGTTCGCAGCGCGTCTAGCCGAGATATCACTATGGTGGGGGCGTTGCTTAAGGAATAGTCCCAGGAGGCGCTGGATCCTGGAGGATTCCTTATCCAATAGGGCGGCGATGATATCCATGGCCGATCAACGATTGGAGTTCCACTGGCTTCCAGACCCTGGATTCCTTATCTACGGGTCCCATATCCAATGCCCACACCGTAATTGGGATGACATCTCCAACAGCGTGACGAGGGCAGTTGCACAGGTCGGCGTCAAGGTGGAAAAGACTAACATTGGAAAGCTCACCATGGTGAATGAGGCCAGTCTCGTGGCCAAAACAGGTTTTCTTATCATGCGTCACGGTGCGGCGAACACTCACCGGTACTGATTGTCTTATGATTCCGTGTTCGTCGAGACGCACCTGCCGAGCTCGTAGTTTTGCGGTCATTCTTTTGGGAATGACGAAGTCAATTGCATTACATCAACAAGTCAGGATCAAACTGCTGGATAATGTGTTTCGGGACACCCGATCAGCACATGCAATCCTGCGGACTGCGTAACGTATACGCAATCAAAATTGGAATTTGCGGCATTGAACAACCAGCCTCGTACCGCTGAGTCATAACGCTGGATATTGTTCGGCTTTTGGACGGCTACGGCCCGTAGCCGTAGCCCGTAGCCTACGGCTCTTGCCCGTGCTGCCCCTGCTTTTTGGCGCACTCTGGGTAATTATTTGGTTACGCAGCTTCGTCGTTTATGAACTTATTTGCATGAGATCCGCGCCAAGCGCGAGCGCCGCGAGCGCTATTTTGCTCGTGCATGCTGCGGAGTTGCAGTGCCCATTTTGCGCCCCCGAGCGCGACATTGCGTGCAACGTACGTTTAGTTTGCGCGTAGGTTCTTACGTTTTGTTTTTAACCATGAGTTATTCCCCACATGCTTCGTGGGGTTCTGGTTTTCTTCCCTGCCGCGCCGCACCCGCGACACACACCTCACTCTGGGAAAGAAGCTGTCATCAAAGCGATGTCGGGATTCAGTCAGCCTCGAGCAGACTTGGTTGAGGCAGGCATGCAGGAGTTTAGCATTTGTTTCATGAATCTCGCTAATGGATACTTGACTGCGCAATGTTTTTTTTTTTTTTTTATATATATATATATATATATATATATATATATATAAAAAAAAAGAGGCACCCCGAGAGAGCCCCATATAAGCAAACATCGTCGATTTCCTATGGGGAAACTGATGTTTTTGACGTGTTCGCCTTTTGCGCTTCCACTGCGTCCAAGACGGCCCAAGAAGCACCCAAGACGCAAGAGGACCCCAGGAGCCCAAGAGGCCTTTCCTGGGAGCCTCCACAGCGCCCCAGGAGGGCCCAAGACGCCTCCCAGGAGCCCCCAGAATGCGAAGACATGGTCCAAGACGCTTCCAAAGCCCAAGTCAGCCTTCCGACGGCTCTCGAGGCTCCCAGGTGACCTCCAAGAGACCCCAAGAGAGGTCCGAGATGCGTCCTGGGACGGCCCGAAGAGGCCAAAACTGTCGATTTACAATTGTTTTCCATGTTGTTGGCTGTTGGCTTCTCGCGTTTTCGAGCTTCCAATGGTCCAAGAGCGCCGAAGAGGCTCCCAAGATTGCTCCAAGACCACCCAAGAGACCCTGAGGACGGCCCCAAGACGAGCCAAGAAGGCTCCAAGACTGCCGAAGAGGCGTCCAGACAGCCCCAGACCACCCCAGAACAGGCCCAAAATGGGCCCAAGAGCGGGAGCAGGAGGCTTCCAGAGACCTCCGAGAGGCCTCCGGGACCCTCCAGAGGCCCCCAACACACCCCCGATCCTTGAGAGGCCCCGAAACGACCCCGACGAGGCTCCAAGAACAGCCCAAGAGAGCTGCGAGAGCCGTCCCGAGAGAGTAAAGTCGTTGATTTCCATGGTTGTTCTAATGTGTTTCGCCTTCTGACGTTTTCTCGCTTCCAACCCTCGAAGATCGAGGATCTGTTGGGAAAAAAAAGAAATTCCCATAATTCCCTCTTTTTTTCAAAGTGGGACTCCGACTCAGAGATCCCACGCATCCCTGGACATCTGGCAGGCACCGCGCCTCCCGGCTTCCCGGGGGGCCCCCAAGACGCCCAAGGACAGCCCAAGACGACCCCAAGGAGCCCCCAGAACGTGAAGAACGGCCCAACACGCTCCCGCGCAGCCCGAGACACCCTTCCGACGGCTGTCCAGGCCTCCAGGGGGCCTCCAGAACCCCCAGGGGGTCCAGAAGATGACACACCCCTGAGGGGCCCGGCTAACAAAACCCGCGAGGCACAAACAAAAAACAGTGCCGAACAGCGCCGAGGAACTGGACAAAAATGGAAATCCCACAATTCCTTTTTTTTTCAAGTTTGGCCCCCGTGTACTCTTGCACAACACCACAATTCAGACCCCCTCACCTCAAAACAAAAAACAGGAAGCCACTGAGGGCCCCAAATCGTTGAACACCTGAAAGGAAGTTCTTGATTTCTGCGTTTCCGCACTTCCCCTTCTATACGATTCCGAGGCTTGCGCAGGGCCTCCAAGGGAGTCCCTGGACGCAAGAAGCGACCAAAATGCGATTGCATGAGTTGGCCGATCAAGCCTAGCTAGAATTTGAGCGCGCGCGAAGCGCGCGCGATGGTTCTAGTCCTATAGGGCGGGGCGTCGACTCCTCAAGAGGCGGCGGCGCCGCGAGGGCGAGGGGGGGGGGCGGCGCGGCGAGGGTCGTGGCCTCGCGGATCCGGGCCGCGGCGGACTCGAGGCGGCGCGGGCTATTCCAGCAGGACGCGCTCGAGCCTTTCGCGGCGATGGCGGCCGCGCTGTCCGGCCCTGGCGGCCGGGGCGGCGCCCCGGGGAGCTGCGGCGCCGCCGCCTGTTGTTGGCGCCCCTGCCCCCGCTGCGGCAGTTGCCCTGGCCCCCTCCGGCTCCGCGCCCCGCCCCCCGGAAGGGGCCCTGCGCCCGCCCGCGAGCGTCTTGGGCTGGTCAACTCATGGTGCCCCCCTGGACGCGGGCGCGCCCAGCAGGCCCGCGCTGGCTGGCGGCGCAGGGCGGCGCCAGGTCGCGGCGTGGCGAGCGGGCGCTCCCTCTTCGCAGCCCTCGTCGCCGACGCCGAGTTCGGCGCGCGCGCCTTGCCGGTGGCGCGCGCCGCCGCGGGCGGGGGGCGGCCGCGGGCCTCCGCGGTATCAGACTGCAGCGAAGGCCAGATCACCGATTTCGGAATGCAGACGCCGCGCTCAGCCAGGCGGCGTGCGGCCTGCCATCAGAAGGACGGCGGCCCCGCCCTCCATTCTGAGACGCGGGAGTCGCGGCGCCGCCATCGGGGCGCCGACTTCGGCGCTTCGTTGCACGAGACGCCGGGCAAAGTTTGTCGAGGCTCTGGACACGGTGGACCAGGCGGACATCTACAACTTGGCGAGCGTGGAGGCCGCCCATCGCGAGCCCCCGCTGATCGAGCACTGCTGGGACGTGCGACGTCAAGAACAGCAGCGGGCCAGCGCCAAGTTACCTCTCGACGAGGTCCAGTCCTTCTCGGGCGGACGCCGAGCCCCGAGCACAGCGCGCCCTGAGCCGCTGGACCAGGTCGCTAAGGAGCTGGAGCAGATTGCAGGCGCCAGGAAGAACGCGAGGAAGCTTCGGGAGGAGCAGGCTGCCCAGGCCAAGCAGGGCGGCGCCCCCCCCCCCCCCGGAGCTGCGACGCAGCACGCGCCGCTTAGGCCCCCCCACCCAGCTGACGCCCCGCGGCCCCGCGGTGAGGCGGCGGCCGGCCCGGATAGCAACCGGCCCTTGCTGCCGCTGCCACTGACGGCCTTGCGCAGGGCCAGCCCGCGGCGACCTGCGGGGCGCTGCGGGCGAGGCCAGGCGGCATCGCCGGGCGGGCCTGCTTTGCGAGCTGATTCAGGCCCTGGGCCAGATGGACGCTGGGGAGGATGACCTGCGCTGGCGGCCCCTGGATGGCGCGCGCCGCAAACTGTGGCCGGCGCCGGCGCGCTCCGCCGACTGCAGCGCGAAGTCTGGCGGCCCGCCGCCCGACGTGAAGACTGACTCAGCCTTCTGGGGCCTCAGACGCTGGCGATTTTGAGTCTTGACTTCGCCTCTCCCCGAGGCGGGCGCATGTCCGCGTCCTCTCGTGGAGCTCCCTGGGCGAGGCTGTCCCTCTCCGCTCAGAGTTTTTCTTGGCGGTAAGGTTTTGCCAAGTCGGC